CTACTGTTTTTTTTTTGACAGAGTCGTTCGTTGTTATTAGAATAGTTTACGCTTAAGTTTGTGGATCTAAAAAGCATTTCGTTTTTTTCAAGTTGTTTAATATGTCTTAAAATTAATTAAAATATTGTTATAAAATTCGCTTTTCTAAGATGCAGCCCGCATCACTGGATCGTGGATATTTTGATCAAGAGAAATACACGTCAAAGTTCTTTGATTTACAATTACATTCCTTAACAGAAGGATCATTTATTTACAATTATGTTCCTTAAATGCATGATTATTCATAATTTATTTTGGCCGTACTCGCAAAGTCTGTGTTCTTGCCCGACTAACTCTCCCTTCCACAAATATTCTATTTATAAACATTTTTACAAGCATGTTACTCTACCTAAATTTATGCAGCTGCATGACGCGTCTACGAATGCGCATTTGGTTTTTTCTTCTTTAGGAAATTTATTATTAGGGAAAATTGTTTTGCTGAAATTAAATGGATTTGGGATTTTCGTAACAATGAACAAAAAAAAGAAGAAAAAAAATTTTTTAGTTAATAAAAAAAAAAGAACAAACGAGATCTGAGAGCAAACGAAAAGGCATTAATTCTGCTGTGAACTTGAACAATTTGGAAAGCAATTTTTCATGAAAAAAAAGCTCAATATAAGAGTTGTAGCACTCATAAAGAAACAACAAAAAGACAAACACAACATTTATCAAACGATAAGGAAAAAAAAGGCATAAAAAAGACTTTCCAATGTACTTAAACGTAAAATAACGATTAGATTAAAAAATTGAAGTGATTTTAACTAGTTAATGAACTAAACAAAATATGTAAATGAAAGAAAAAACATGTATAAATAAAGAAATAACTAAAAATCGTATCGAAACGAATTAAATGTTTTTGCATGAAAACTAACCCTTCTTTACATACAACAAGAGGTTTCAAAGAAAAACAAAAGGAAAAGAAAGAAGGGGAATTGCATGTTTATACTCAAGCATCCACAACGATCTAAATGATCAGGACGATGATGAAGGCGGCAATTACGACGAAGATCCAGCCTCTACTGGGGGTAGTTATCAGCTGATTGAAAAACAACATGAGCTGGAGAAGATGAAAAGATTTCAATTGGAATCAACGCTACAAAACGTGGTATAAGCTCAAGTATGGAGAATGGTACGCAGGATGACATTCCAGAGCATGACTCGGATCGTATGTTTCTATTAAGGTTGTTGCCGCATTTGCGTAAGGTTGGCGATTAAAAAAAAAAAAACTAAGACCAAAATTACAAAACATTTTTTTTATTTTGGTTTTAATTTATATTTACGGTTGTATATCAAAGATTTACAAATTAGAAGAACTCAAAAGTGTTGTTGAAAACTTGCAAAAATTGGTATTATATTTTCTACAACTTAAATGCACATAAAAAGGAGAAAGAAAGAATTGATGCTTAACTAAGCAGTTTGCAAATACCCTTGACACGGGGTATGAGTGGATATACGTTTGGACCAACGGACCAAGAATGAACCAACGACCTGCGAACAATACACACAACGGCCCTTACAGGGGGGTTTACATCGCGTGCCAGATTACGGCTTGTGAGCGAAACACCTTGAAAAGAAAATTTTTTTTTTGTCATACAGCTCGGCAAGGCAGAAAAGAATATGTAAAAATCATGAACCTCTAGCGCGGAGTAGCTACGCCTACGACAATCTTGGGTAACAATCAGAAGGTTTAACGTCATAGACTGAAAAAAGCAAACGCTTTAAATCTGTACTTTCCGAAGATAAATGTTTAAATCTAAATAAACTTGATTAACATTGCTTTTTTGAAAATCACCCCTAAATCACAAATAATAATTATTGCTGGAGACACGTATAAAAGAAGAGAAAAAATGATTATAATAATTGAGCAGATGCCATGGATTGGATTGAAGCGAGGATTATGGTGGACAAATCAGCAATTCACCCAGGTATATGAGTAAGTTTGTCTAACTTTATTATCATATTAGAATTGTATCTTATTGTATTAATACTAATATTATATGTTAGATAAATACATGCAAAGGAAAATGCAATCAACTTCAAAAAGTTACTTGGTTTTGCGGAAGAAAAGGAGTAGGTGAGAAGGACATCATAGATCAGCAATTAATTATTAATTGTTAACAATTAATCGTTGCTTACGTCTTATTATTATTATTACTAAGAATTCTTACTTTATTCATTTTTTTGTGACTTTCAAATGTATATATTTTTAATAGATTTCCGTTCACGCGAATTTTTAATTAGTTTTACGTTTTTTAATTTGTAAGGAAGCGTTTTGCTTCTTTACTGATGACAAGTCAGTCCGCGCAAATGTCTACCCGCAGACCTCACGCAGTTAGTCTGATTTGTCCGTTCACAGGTCTTTTTACTGAACACGATCATCCTTCTTCCGCGCAAAATACTAAAACATAAACTCTCCAAATTTGCACAAAGGTACAAACTCTGCAAAAACGATAGGAAACGTCAAATGTATAACCTGCTAAAGAGATGTATACGAATGTATGAAATGTTACCTAGTGATAACTGCATAAAACGCGTATATATAATATAAGAATATAATTGTTTTGCCGAAGGAGGCATGTTGTGAACACATGCGTAACGATTAGCATTTTACAATTGAAATTAGCAATATTAATAAAACAAACAAACAAGCGTAGCGATAGGAAAGAAAAACAACAGGATAGCTATGATGCATAGCACATGAAGACATGCAGGCTAACGGGTAACGAAAAATACGATTTAGTACCTGAGTCGACACTCACTACAAGATCATACGAGTTGGTACGTAAGGTAGTATTAATGTTAAGATATACGTAAGAAGTTCGATCAAACCTAAGTTTGCACACGTAAGGATAGATATGTAAGAATAACATTGTAACATAGATGAAGGCAAACCTGCTCGATCAAACCTAAAATAGCATACGCCAGATTAGATGGATAAGAATATCATCACATACACATGTAAGTGAGTATAAGCTAGAACATACATGTAACGGGGCAAGGCTGGTGATCACGACTATAAAAGAGCGTGTCGCACCACGCTCAGCCTTTCAATTGTGTCATAGCAGCCGAAGGTAAGCGATCACGGGCTTAACTAGTTAACTTTTACTGAACGGGGTTATTTAGCCATTACGGATAGAGGATGACAGGTGTGGCTTCGCCGTCATCTCTGAACGAATAATAGGACTGTTAACCATTACGGATAGGCGTGGCTTCGCCGTCATCCCTGAATGAATAATAGGACTATTGACCATCGCGGATAGGGGATGACAGGTATGGCTTCGCCGTCACCCCTGAATAACCAATGAACATTCAAGTCTTGCAAGATGAGCCGGTTAGGAACTGAAGTGGGGCCCTGTAGGACCAGCTTGGTTGCTATGACACCCGCGGCGCACTCTTCTCTTTACAGACTCTCGCACTAAGTAGACGTGAAAGAGAAAGTACAGTGATAATCGGGAACGAATAAGAAGTATTAAAACGTTAAGGTCGGATCACCAAGCTGGTTTTTCCTCATACGCCTCTTAAAATTCGCGTGAATATTATAATGTTCCCGTAAATAAATAAATAGAAACTAAGAACAAACCCGAAGGTCCAAGTAAATTTTTTTCTATAAATATTCTTGGAAAGAGTCCTGGATTGGCTGAGCTTACCCCGCCAAGAAGACAAGTTACAAATTTATTTTTTAGTTTTTAAAATAAACATCTAATTAAATTTTAAATATTGTGTATTTTAACAAATCTTGAACATCAATCAATTAAGTTTCTAAAGGTAATGAAACTTTAACTAGTTTTAAATCTTAACCAGTCTTATTTATATATAAATGTACCTTTTAGTTAGTTTTAATTTTTATGTATATATTTTTAATCATCTTTATATGTTTATATTTTTTTAACTTTCTACACATATTGACATGATTTTTAACCATATAGAAAAATCACAAAAAAAATTTTCTTTTCTTCATTTTCACAGTTATCAGAAAATAAACGTTTTAAAGACGACCGTTCCAGTGAAGCACTTGTTAGAGAATCTTTTCAGACATCTCTTTAAAGACGACCGTTCCTGTGAAGCACTTGTTGGAGAATCATTTCAGACATCTCTTCGAATATTCTTGTTAAGCTGTTCTACAAAGAAATTTTTCCTGCACAACAAATGATCACAATTTCTTTTTCTTTTTAATTTCCCACTTTATGATTGGATCCCACAATGGCAAAAATGCACGAAATCAATATGTCGTTTTGTTGGAACTAGTTTATGACTTGTGAGATCTCTGTAATATTGTTTACAATACATTTGTTAGATTCGCATGAGTTTAATATAAGTTCTTTTCTTATTAAATTAAATGAGGAAGCAGGAAATGGAATATGTTTCATTCAAACTCCAGACATTTGTTTCAAAAGTCTTTCAATGCAGTAAACACATGTACACGGGTGCATGTGTAAAGTAATAGAATCAGAAGAAAACGACACATGCAAAAATATCAATTCTATTTAATGTCGACTATTGCTTTATATGGACAGATTTTTCTTCTTTTGATATTTTTGTATTCAAAGAAATACTTTCTATTTATCGATAACTGTAAAATATTTAAGCGCATGCTTCAAATTAAACATTTGTAAAAAAAATTTTTTTTGCCTACAAAACGTAGGCACTGTGAGTGATTGAAAGAATTATAAAAATTTTGCTCTCTTTTGCAAGTAATCTATAAACACAATATATTTTCTTTAGAAAAATATAGTGGTTAGGCTTAACGTTATTTGAATAAAATAGAAAAATGTGGTCAGTTAGTAAATACACCAATGCTACTTTATATACGATATAAATGTTTGAGAAAGTAAATTTCTCATACCGTCCGTACAATTTCATTTGTTCATTTGTGCGTACGGTAATAAAATCAATAACAATAGAAAGACTAGCTAAAATTAATTAATAAATAAACGAATAATGAAATAAAAAGTCAGTAGAGGTTTACAAAAAAATTTGATAAAAAATGTTGTAATTAAAAGTTACATTTATCGCAAATCACTGATGGAAGAAGATAATTGATTAAAATAATAAACATACATATGAATTCAATTGACCGGAGGAATTCAATTCCAAAGACTTCATTGATTTTTCATTGACGGTTGTAATTAAAGGTGAAACGTTTGATTATAGATGCAAAGATTTTGTATTTCGCCGGCAAAGAGATTACGCTTCTGAGTGACATTTTCAATGCTGTATGCTTTAGTGAAATGGTGACTGTTAATAAAGTCTTACAAGAGTCTTTCATTTAAAAACTCTACAGTTAAATATATTTCTCGCATTTCGTGTAAGCACTAACGAAAGGAATCCAACAAAACACGGCATATAAGAACGTCCTGTGCGATAAATTCGGGTTGTTTACGTATTCTTTTGCAGTGTTCATGGTTGGACCATCAAAAAAATGCTGAGTTGTCAATGAAGTCGGTTGCGCATATTTGATCGTATTCAAGATGTGCTTATTAAAATTGAAACATCACATAATAATGATACTTTTTTCTTTGCGAATGTATAATTAGTAATTTATGGAAGAAATACGGTTGTAGGAAAATTGAGCGACCGAAATATAATTGCTAGTAATTATGATTTCATCGAACAATCTGGAATCGGTATGTATTGATTCGGAAAAGAGCATCGCTATTTTGTGGATTTTACTGCAACTACGATTACTATATAATAATTATCTTCAAATCATTGCAGTCAGCTGCTCAACGGCCTCATACGGATTTAAATAATGAACAGAAATTGCTGGCATGTAAACGAGTAGGTCAAGGCATTAATATGGCTGTGGATCGGCTTATGACAATCGGCGAAATTATTGCAGATGGCCATGTGGATATTAAAGCAGATATGTTTGAATGTTGTAAAGACGCCAGAGATACGGGTAAACCGAAATATTTCCGTATATAGTATATAAAGAAAAACTTTTGAGTTGTCCGAAAAGTGTGAATCGAGATTTAAATCAATTTTAGTTTTAAGCGGCATTTGTTTTAAATACATATTGATGTATTCCAGCACCAGTTACTCTATTTTTCCATTTTTATATGGAATACGATTAACTGTAAGAAATTCCTGCGTAACTGATGGATACCACAAGTCCTTCTATGAATGGCAAAAGGAAATTTATATATGTGACCATTGGTTTCTTCTATTTTATAGTTAGTTTCTTGTCTTATTTGTTAAAAACAATTATGCCTTTCGTCGATTGCCATAACATTCTAACAGAAGTATAAAAACGTAAAAAGGGATCATCCTTCTTCTCTGAAGAGTCAAGAAAAATTTTTTAAGATCAGAAAACAGCAAAGGGAGGGACCTCACTAGTCGGTACTATATGTCACGCAAGCCAATTGCATCTTAAACAGAATGGGAGATTCAGAGCCGGCAAACGGTAAAAAAAGTGTACGCCATTACGGGGAATATTTCTTAGGAACTGGCGCCCTGAATCACATGTAGAACTTCCAATCGTTAGAAAACTTTGCGAAGAAGTACACCGGATACCTTTTCCCACAGTGAAGAAGTTACCATGACTTGTCTTGATTCTTGTTACTTGACTAAAGAGAGAGCTGGCTGCGACCTGTGCTTCTATATAAGCTTCATCATATTTAAGTATATGTTTCATAATCCATATACGTACATATGTCTCGCGGACGAATATATATGAATTTACGGCAAATTATCTATTTATATATTTTGGCAGAACTTATTCTCTAATGCGCAAGAGCGGTTGTTGTGAAAGTGATGGATAATCTACTCAGTACGCTACGATGACCAAGTATGTACGCAATTTACTTGCTGAAGCGTATTTCTTTGAATGTCACGAAATCCACATACCTAAAGTAAAAAAATGTTATCCATCTGTGATCGAATTTTCTATGCCCAGGAACTCCGTCATGGATATATATACATATATATACATACAACGTGACTAATGAACAAAAAATCCAAATTTTCCTCTTTTGAAAAGAGAACTGTTCTCAGTTTACATTATATAAATTTCGTAAGGTTTCAATCTTGAAAAGTTTTTGCGAATTTGCATTTGCGTATCTACAGACTGTGTAGTTTGACAAATGTATTTTTAAGCTCAGAGGATGTTTATCACAGATGATGCACACAGGGGCATGAGTAAATTGACTCAACGTTAAACGCATTGCGAATGTTTCTGATGGGAATACTCTCACAAGACCAAACTACTGTGCTTTTTTATTGTAGATGAAATTAGATATAGATATTCGATAACTAAAAAGGAAGAAAATATTGAAAAAAACTCTACCGCACTTGAGATTCGAACCCACGATCATTAATGCCATTATCAGTACTTACATATAACTCAGCAAACTTTGCCAAATGCCTTGGTAGGTCCAAGTTCTCTTCATTACTTCACAAAATAAACAGCATTTGCCACCAATGTGGCACAAATCATATAATTTTTGTAGTACTGACCGAGTACTAATAGCCCAAACGAATACAGTGAAAAAAATAATTATAAAACATTATAGAAGCATAAAATTTCACTACTTAAACATACTTTTTTTTTTGTCCATGTTGTGTTTGAGAGCTACTCTTTCACAGATATTATAGTTGAATTGACTCTTGTTCTGCTGTTATTATTATTACTAGTGATGATAACAACGAAGTAAGAATTTCTCGCGGCAAGCCGTAATAACTTGTGTATGGGATACGGAATGGCTGACAACGGACTTTACAACTATTATTACTATTAACTACGAAACAATGAAAGCTGGTCCAACTAAAATTTTCATGAAATCTGTCGACATTTACAGATAATTAATAAGAACATCACACATCGCAATTTCGCACGTGCCAAATAAGATAAGAAAGAGCAGAAATAGTGATATTAAAAAACTTTCATCATTCTACTGCAAAAAAAATTAAGAAGAGAGTATTGTGCAACGTGTCCAATATACATCCTTGATTCACTTAAGATCCGCTATCAATATTTATTATGAATAAAATAAAATTTACTACGCAAAATATTTTAATCGTTGGAAAAAACGCTGACATTCCTCAATGTCATCGGTTTAAATATCTTAGCAACACAAAACCTTATTGTACAAAAAACATGAAATCTGTGAAACGTGGACTACTTAACTAGATCCTGCAGTAAAAACAGTGGTATTCACTCAAAATGTGTTAATAGGTTGCAAAATCATCCCTTGGAGCATATACTAGCAAGTTCTTAACAAGAAAGTTCAAAACAGAATAGAAACTTTAAAGCAGAACAACAAAAGCTAAACGTGATATTAATTACTCCTATGATCGGGAAGAACAATATTCATTGTAAAAAAAGTACTACTCAATTACATATAATGTTAATGAGACCGATGGCAGCAATAATCTTACCAACTACCATTAATCCCAAATGATCAAAAAGTCTTTTTCAGAGGCTGAGATTTCTTTGAAAAACAAATTGCAATGACAAACTGTCATCAGTATGACGATGCTGTTTGCGTCAAAGATGTATAGATTGCCAACGTGCCACACCCACGAATAGCTTGATAATTGTCAGCCATTCTTAAGAAAGAGCTCATGCTGTTTCCGTAATACTAGTGAACTTTACTAATGGATATAAAGGAAAACTATTTTTATAAGCATTCTGTATAAAATTGGACTGCGAATTTTGAGGGGTAATTTTTTATTAATGTATTTAATCACACGGGGGTATATAATTAGAATAAGAATTAGTACGTTAGTCTACGGAAGAAAACGGTAATTGATTAAAAAATGATGAGGTAGAAGATTCCATAAATTTAATTCATGAAGCTGAATTTAAACGTATTCTGGGAAATTTTGTCAAGTCTAAACATCACAGCAATTGTGTTAATGTTGAAGTAGGGGAAATGATCAGAAATAAGAGAAGAATAACAAGAAAGTGGCAAATTAGCAAGAATCCTCTGAATAAAAGGAGGTTTAATAAAGTTACGGGGACTCTATCCATGCAACTTAAGTTTACTAAGCAACAATTTTTTAATCAATTAATAAAATATATGAAATCATGAATTAAGCAAATTGTTACTTTCACAGATAAGTTTGGAAATGAGGGTAGAAGTGACATGCGAAGGGCAGAAAATTTGGAGCTTCCTCTAAAAGAAACTTTGCGTTACTAGCAATGTAGAAGAAATATTGAGATCGCTAAATAAAGCATGTCCTATAAACCGATAATTTATCAGTTGCTGAAGTCCAGAAAGAAATTAATACTCTAAACTTAAAAAAACGTGGTATCAAAGTAGCTGTTAAGTCTGTATCAGATAGGGCTTTCACTTTTTTAGCTTTAATTTTTAACAATATATTGAAGTTGAACCATACTCCGATTTAATCACAATGCGCAGATATAATCGTGGTATATATATCAAATAGCACAGAAAGTGTTGTAACCTCATATAGAGCAATTAGCTTATTGCTAACATTTTCTAAGAGATTTGAACGAACATACTTGCGAAGATTACACTCAATTTTGCAAAAGAACTTGGTACTGACGACTATTTCGATTTCAGCAATAAACATGGTGTCGTTAACCAATGTCATCGCATTGTTTAGTAACATCAGAGAAGCAACTGAAAACAAAGTTACTGCAGAAAAACGTCCCCCATAAAGGTTTTTCAAATTTAAAAATTTTTTTCCAACTCCAATCTATTAGGGTGGTCAAACTTCATATTTTGTGAAGAATTGCCTGATTTGGCAGCTCACCACCCCCTTGTACACATCTTTCGGCTTATTCATTTGTAGATTTCCGGTCATTTGGTGTATGCATCAATCAATACCAAAATGTAAGAACATTTGAACGGGCTGGCAAAGTCTAGGTGAACATAGGTGAAGGTAAATGGGGCTTTTGCTTGCTCTCAGCAATGTTTAGGTGATTTTGACGGAGCATGGCGGTGTTGTTGACAATTTTCACAATTTTTTACTATATTTTCAATTTTATTATCAATATCTTACCACCACCATTCTAGCCAAGACGTACGAGTCTTCTCAAAGTGTACTGCATGAAGTTCCTGCGAAACTTTACATTTTAGCTTTAGTGGGATATATACTCTCATATCTCTTAGGACACAATCTTGTTGTAACGAGAATTCAAATTGATGATTAGCAAAGCGTAAATGCGGTTGCATTATCCTGCCTTCTTAAAGACTTGGGGTATTTCGACATCATTACGAGTTGCAGCAGTTAACTCTAATATAGTAACTGAAAATATCAATTTGCATTACATCTACTTCGTTTATATATCACTGCGTATATCAGAAATTGAGGATCTTGATACAGCATCAGCGTTCGTATTTTCTTTTTTATATCCAGCACCAAAGAATGAGCGGTATATTCATTTTCCCAAAACCTTTCCCACACAAGAAGGCATCAAAGACCGCACAATGTATACATATTGTTTATCAGCATCAAATTCAGAATCGATTTAACTGTGTCTCTCTATGTAAAGTCTGTTGTAAGCATTCTCCTGGCCGCAAAAATGAAGCTATCGTGCTCAAGTTTGCAGAAACATTGGAAATTCTTGCACGCTGGTTGGTATTGAAAATGAGCCATATCGGCCAGAGGATACGCCTACAGTATAACCTAAAATGACACCTCATAAACGATAACAGATAAACATACAAAAATTTAAACACCTACTCCGGGTGATTTTGTGCCCTTACGAAAACGGGAAATAACTAGCACGCCTACCGAATATTAAAGTGTAAAAAATGTAATTTTTTTCAACTCAAATTTGTTCAAAACGTGCAGAAGCAACTTCAAAAACTCCCTTAAGTATATGAACTCCGACCAGTTTCAAACTTGAAATTCACTTGGGCGTTCTGTTCATCTGCTACTGTAGTCGTCTGTCGGTCTGTCTATCTGTTCGTCTGTTCAACCGTGCTT